CTCAGTGATTGTTGCCACATTCTCCCAAGTGCCAATGCCCAGTTCACGTGGTGTTTTGTTCATGAACGCCGGACGAGGCAGATCCATCATCTGCAAAGCGAGCCTTCATACGCTGTAGCAGCGCCATAATCGAATCATTCGCAGAGTAACTTTAGATCTTGCTATCAACTAGTGCTACATCTTATCCATGCTTACCTCTATCCCAAATACTTCACTTCCTTTTTCCTTTTTTCTACTTCCCTTCCCTTCCCATCTTTATTTCCTTTTTACTCTCCCTTTTTTTATCTTTCTTTCCTTTTCTTCTCTCCGTTTCTTTCTCTTTTCTCCCCCTGAACATCACGACCGTCACACTGACGAGGTCCAGTCGTGGTGTAGAGCTAAGACGTATATGACTTAATGGACCGAGACGTCTCAGTTCACTAATTTCATATTCATTCACACTCATTTCTTCCCATATCTTCGATTTCTAAGCTCATAGCATCTATGCTATAATCAGCTTAGAATTACATGGAATAACTACCATATACGGAAAACTTGCAGTAATACTGCAGCAGGTGTCATAGGAGATAAATCGTTATGGGATAAGCAACGAGTAAAAATTGTGGAGAAAGTGAGTTCAAAACTAACGTAAAGGTACAGGAATTTGATCAGTCTTTTGTGTGTGAGGATAAATGCAATATTGCCGGAGCACTCTTCCACGACTGGCAAGCGATGCACCTTCTCCTTGCACAACATCTGCACTGCACTGTACAGGCTGGAAAAGAATCACATTAGCAGATTCCGTCGCAATCGAAAACGTAAATAAAATTGAGCTAAAAAAAAAATACCTATCAGTGGGTCGAATAAATGCAAATGGCTTCAGATGCCCATCATGCTGCAGTTCTTCACGCCAGGTGGCTATTTTGTGCTCTTCAAGTCCCTTTATGCCCTCATTTTTAGAGCCATTCTTTTCGTAATATCTGAAACTGGCTTCGTTACCGCCTTTGAATGCATGTTTTTCTTCTACACAATTGCAAGACTTAGATTCCCCCACTTTCCATAAGCCCCAATGGATTGACGGCCGAACGGCGAGGACGAAGGGCTGCTAGAATTTCAAGCGGTCATAAGACACTGCTTGTGGGTTAACAAGATTTTAGGTGGCTGTCGATGAACATATGAACTATAAAGATGGATGGATAAACGAAATATTTTCTCTAAGAAATCCGTAGAGCATTATGCGACGCTCTCGATGTGTGTGAAACATGATGAAGGATCGAACCATAAAAGCCAATAAGACGATTTTATTCTGCATGCGTGAGAAACAGAGAAGTTTTAGCACAGTGAAGGTCTTCGCAACCATTCCCTGTCAGAAGTTCCACTCGTCCTCAGGACAGATTCCAAGAGCGCTCAGAATTATCCAAGCTTATGCTCCACCATAACACAACTGACACTGGTGAAATTGAAGGAATTCTATGTTGAGTTTGAACTTACTCTAACTGTGATTTTACAGAGGATTTCGGTGCAAATTTTACGAGATCGGAAGAATGAAGATACGCTGATAATACGCATGATAAGGGCAACAAGTAAGAATTTACTGAGGAACAAACTGTTTGTTGGCAATATCTGATTTCGGAAAGAACAAGGCCAGATGGACTTCGCCTGCACCAGATACGGAAAGAACCAACAAAAAAGAATATAACTGGGAGGTGTTTCCGCAGGGCTTTCCTTTGATATGGGAAGTGGTTACCACATACTGTGG